TATGAGAAAACAAAAAAATGGAAACAAAGTCTTTGTAAACAGGGAAGGATGGAGGGGTTGAAAGGAAGGCAGGGGATGGGAAAAAAATAAGAACCGAGAGAGATTATGTAAAGGTGCAAATTTCCAATGATGAATGTCACTACATTGTATACCTAAAATGTACCAATAAAATAAAATTTTAAAAAAGAAATGCAAATTAAAACAACACTGAGATTCCATCTCACTCCAGAAAGAATGGCTGTCATCAAGATATCAACCAATAACAAATGCTGGTGAGGCTGCGGGGAAAAAGGAATCCTTCTCCATTGTTGGTGGGAGTGTAGACTGGTGCAACCACTGTGCAAATCAGTGTGAAGATTCCTCAAAAAACTAAAACTAGAGGTTCCATTTGACCCAGCTATTCCCCATCTAGGCATCTTCCCAAAAGAGTTAAAAAGCATCAGACCACAGTGATATGTGCATACTCATGTTTACAGCAGCACAATTCATAATAGCTAAATCTTGGAAACAGCCCATAAGTCCATCAAGAGATGGATAAAGAAAATGTGGTATTTATATACGATCAAGTACTACTCTACCATAAAGAATAAACGAGTCATTTGTAAGTAATGGATGCACCTCAAGACCACAATCTTAAATGAAATAATCAGACCTTAGCCCCAGCAAGAGCCAGGACATTTAAATTAGATCTCAAGTCCCTTCCTCACTCTCAACAGGAAGGAAAGGTTTTTGGGCTCTCACTAGAGGTTGCAAAATAGCCTGGGGAGGAGCTGAGCCTGAGCCTCAGGCCCAGAACTAGGCCCTCCTAACTCCGGCCATTGCAGGGTCTCCCATGAGTGCTGTCCACCCACACGCCCAGCAGAAGGGCACCAGAGGACCTACAGAAAGGACACTCAGGAAATGAGGCGCTTTGGGGGTTTGGAGAGAAGCACAGGGTTTCAGAGCAGAGATGGATAAAGATTTCCTAAGAAGGGGCAGGGATTTTAAAGTTAGAGATTCATTAATGATAGAAAAGAGCAGAGGACTATTTAGGAAGGACCTGGAAGAGAGACAGGGTAGGAACTACTGCTTGCCCAAAATCAGACCCACTGAGGAATTTAAGCAGCCTGGAGAACAGGTCATGGCCACAGAGGGCTACTGAAAGTGAGTCAGAAATGGTGCCCACCTAACTTCCAGCATCTTTTCTCGAAACTTCCTTACTGTCCGAGTAAGAATATAAGAGAACGGAACGGGTGAAGAGTAGCCCCATAGATTCTGGCTGAGGCTGTGCTGGGCTAGGCTGACCAACCTCAGACTTCAGGACAGCCTTTCCAGTCTCCTTCAAACACATCTGGCCTCTGTACGGACAGAACAGCTTCATCCAAGCCCAGAAAGGGCAAACCTGCGGCACCGCACCAGGTTGAGAAGGCAGAAGTGTGGTCAGCTCTTTCCGGCTCCCACACTCCCGGCAAGAGACCTGGAACACAGGCAGCTAGCATGCCCTAGTGACCGTTTTCACCTCACAGGCAGCTGCTGCTGACCAGAACCTTTGGGGAAGAGGGTGACATCTCCCCAGAACGGGCTTCAGCTCCACCAAGAAAGGTAGATCCACAGCTAAGGACAAGTCCCGTCCATCCTGGCTCTTGTGCCCTATATGCAGGTGCCTCCAGGACATCGGTGGTGATCCTGTGCAGAGGTGGAGATGACTTTCTCATCCAATTTCCCAAATACTTCATTAAACAGCAATTCAGTAGGTGCCAGGCACAGCACAAGTTGGAACGCAATAGCTGTTCCTATTCTCCAGAAGCTCACTCTATAGGGCAGACCACATGTTTCACAGAAGATCTTGCTCTCACCTTCATGAATTCACATCTAAAACCAAGGAACTCCCAGGTGCAGATGTGGCCAGTAGTAGACCCCTTGCCTAGCACAGGCAAGGCATGGATTCGATCCCAGCACTGGGAGAAAAACAATCAAAAAGCCCGAGGCAAGAAGTGCCTGCCTCCTCTATCTCTGTGTGCCTTACAAGCTTTAGCACATCCCTCTTCAGGTTGACAGAGACAGGACCTAAAGGGTAACTCATGATCCTTTAGTACCAGCCTTGGGGCAGCAGCTCTTGGTCTATCCAGAAAGCAGGTGTGGGGGACAGGTCTGACTTTGGGTAAGCGGTGGTTCCTACCCCGTCTCTCTTCCAGGTCCTTCCTAAATAGACCTCTGCTCTTTTGTGCGTGTGTGGTGCCAGGGATCAAACTCGGGACCTTGCGCTTGCCAGGCAGGCACAGCGCCACTGAGCTACATCCCTGGCCCCCAGCAGCATTCTTAGTCACTGTACAATGCGCTGCTCCAAACATCACAGGCTACTTGGTGACAACACAGGAACTTGGGTGGCAAAGACTGGGCCATCAGGAAATACCAAGAGCCCTAGGTCCACTGAGAGGAATAATGCTCCATTGGACCACAGGGAGCCCAGGATGCTCGAAAGAGCACACTCCTCTGCTGCTTTGCTTTGCCATCCTACTAGGCACAGTGTCTGTCCACATTGCAGCCAGCGGCACAATGGCCTGAAGGAGGATTTCCAAGTGAGTGGCACTCCCAGAGGCAGAGTTCTGCAGCTAAGTGGGCACGTCGAAGCAGTCAGGTTCACTTCCGCCCAGACACGGCTTCTCCTGTTACCACCAAACATTACCGCCGAAAAGAATCACCCCCGTGAAAGCAGGGGCTTACATTTTCGCCATTTATTCTTTAAAATCTTATTCAAAATATTAAATAATACAATTTCAGATATGAAAAAATTACTGCAATCGAACAGTTCAGGGGTTTTTTTCTGCTGTGGCCCCTTCCTCCTCCGGAGCCAGCTGCAGCTGGGATGAAGCAGGCCCGGCACCGCCTCTCCCCTCCACCCGCTCTGGCCTGCTGGCCGCTGGGCTTTGCTTACACACAGTGCTAGAGGCCACGTTTCCTAAAAAGTTGCATCCACGCCTGAAAGTCAACCACGGTTCAAATCACATATTTACATATTGATCGGTTCTTTATGACAGAAAGACAGGTTAACATAAAATATGGTAAGTAATTTCCAGTTGCTGTAAAAAACGAAGAAGAAACTATAGTAAGTCCAGGAGGGGAAAGTCACTGTACACATGTACCCTTTATGTATACAAACAACTTCATTCGGATATAACTTTAATTCCAAAGACCTAAATACAGTATCATTCAAGTCATAATGTCCCCTCGGACCTATTCAAATCTATTTCACAACAAAAAACAAAATGGACAAATCCGATATAATCTTTTTTCTTCCAGACAGGGTCTCGCTATGTAGTGCAGGCTGGGCTTGGACTCACAGCAATCCCCCTGCCTCGGCCTCCCAAGTGCTGGGATTACAGGCGTGCGCCACCACATCCAGCAAATCTGATATCATTTTAAACTCTGCCCACTGCTTGAAAACTTGGAGGAAGCTGTGCTACACTCAACTACTAATTAAAAGAAACTGTTTGTGTTTAATATTTTACCATAGCTTCTACTTTCGATCTCTAAACTTAATTCAGCAATTCAAACCAAACAATGGCGTCTATATAACATTTTATCTATGTTCACTGCAAACGGTATCCTTTTTTTGCCGTAATTTCTAGACACATTTAATGTGTTACCTAAAATTGTGGTCAAATTGACCGATACCATTATCTTAAACTGTGTTTTAGCTGCCTAAAAACATTCAAAGAGTTTTCTTGAGAGAACAAAATGTTACCTAAATGTGATGCATTATCACATCTACCCTTGGCTACCCTTGTACATTACAGTTGGTGACCACCAAGAAATGGATATTAAAAAATTCACATTTGGATGGCAGAGTGTGAATCTAAAAAAGTGGTACTAGATTTGTTAGAATTTAGCTACAAGTTTGGGATCTTTTAAAGGTACTACAGCTTCCAGAAGTAGTACAAGAAATGGAAAATAATAAAAACTAACGGTATAAATATAAGGTTACACTTAACTTACATTTGGGACACCTGGGTGAATCAGCTCTAAAAATGTAGATAAAAAATTATATACCTCTGTTTGTGACACTGAATTTCCAAAGCACCAAGGCAAAAGAGAGACCCGCCTCTCATTTGAGTGCCAATTGCTATGGCAAACACCTGCACAGCATCAGACAAAAAGTCAAACAAATGAAATTACATAATAAGCAAACTCAAACCACAGTGCTTTAAAAAATATAATCATTGGTGATCTTCAGAGAAGGCATCGCCTCATGAACATTCTGGTCTAGACGATGATATTCCACCGTTTTAGAACAAAGGCCATCACGCCACTTTCTGCTTTGAACTAGGAGGAAAATCTGGAATAAAACAAAAGGAATTAGACATGCAAAAGAGAAAACAGGGCACGGTCAACATGTTTATAACAAGGAAACAGCTTTCTCCTAGGCCCCCAAACACAAATATTCCACATCACCAGCAACGGAAGGCTATTCTGGTTTCTATCCAGTAAATAAGCGCAGACAGTGTGCCTCAAATTTCAACACGCACGGGGTCCTCAGGGCTCGGTCTCAGCCGAGTGAGGAGACTGAGCCTGCGTGCTTCATGAGTCCCTTAGCAGACACCAGGATACATACAGGATCATTAGCATTTAAATTCCATCTACCTCAAACACCTACAGAGCTAGGGATGGATCAGTAATGACCAAAGACTCAAAGGGCTTATTTGTCTGCCATTTTCTACTAATGGGTTCACTGATTCTCAAAGTTGGAAGGCATTTTGAAAATAAGGTCCATTTAAAAAAAAATAAATTAAATAAAATTAAATTTAAAAAAATAAGGTCCATTTTGCCATTCCTCAAGTAGAAAAAAAAATCAAGACCTCGAAGAACATGTTATACGGAATCACAGAGCAAGTTCCAATAAAGCCAAGAACTAAGATTTCCTTTTCTTTTGGGTTTTTTTTGAAACAGGGTCTCACTATGTAGTTCAGACTGGCCTTGAACGCCTGGTGATCCTCCTGCCTCAGCCTTCTGAGTGCTGGGATCATAGGCGTGCGTCACCACGCCCAGCAAGATTTCCTTAAGTATTAAAAAGGAAATGGTGTGCTTGATCTCCCTGTAGATATTCTGAAAGACTTAACTCTGGCTGTGAGGCTACAGGGTGCAAAGATGAACCCTCACATTAAATGACCCAGCCACACTATTTATGCCTCCTTTGCCTCATACAGCCCAGCAAAATAATTCCCATTCAGAAATAAATGTTCATAACATTTTCTGAGTCAAAAAGTGGAAATCATCTAAACGTCCAATAAGAAACCAATCATGCAGGTTTTAAGCCATGTTTTTAAAGAATATTAATGTTATAGTAATGCTCATGATGTGTTATATAAAAATATATAATGTTATCTATATGACATAACAACCATTTAAAAATTACACACTGGGGGGCCGGGGACTTAGCTCAGTGGTTCCACCACCTGCCTCGAAAGCGTAAGGTCCCGAGTTTGATCCCTGGTACAAAAAAAAAAAAAAAAAAAAGACTCAAAAAGAATTAGTAAGGGCCAGTCATGAAGCACATGCCTGTAATCCCAGCTACTCAGAATCCTGAGGCAAAAGGATAGTAACTTCAAGGTCAGCCTGGGCAATTTAGAGAAATACTGTCTCAAAATTTAAAAAATTAAAAGGCCTAAGGATATAGTGCATGGTACTACTTTCCTACTCATGCATGAGCCCCTGGATTCAAAAAGAATTGAGAAAATATATGACTACAATAATGAAGTGCAACTAGAGGAGCTAAATAAATCCCAAACTTACCTTCCTCTTATTGTGATACGTAACGTAAACAACAGCAATACAAAAAGCAAAAATAATAAGATGAAAAAAGAAATGGCTGTCTTCCTCTTCTATATTTGAGGATGGAGACTTAAAAGATTTCACTGACTGTTCGATTTCCATATAGCCCCTGTTTTCTTCCAGAGCCTCCTCGGACTCCTCATCCCTGGGGCTCGTGGTCCAGTCGTAGTCTGGCTCTCCGTAATCACCGTTGTCCAGAGGGTCTCTGGCTGGGGAGGGAGAGCTGTTGGGCTCCCGGAGATCCTCCTCCTCCTCCTCCAGGCTTGGGTCTCCATTGTTAACAGCTGCTTCTGGGAGCAGAGAGGTGGCCGGGGAGGTGCCGGGGGCCGCCGACACACCTTGGCTTTTCTCAGTACTAGTCGGGGGAGGGCGAGTGGTGCTGGCTTGGGAAACAGGTGTAGTTTGGTTTTCCTGGTTTAAAGCATCTGTATTTGAAGTAGAAACATCTGGGCTGTGTACAGTTGGGCTTTCGGGCTCTATCACTGATACCTCTGAAATAAAAGAGTAAAGACACAACCCTGAGATCTCCAGTTTTATCTCCACCAAGCTAAAAAGCATACTTAAAATTCTTGGTAAGCATTCTCTCTGCTAAATTCCTGTAACTTTCTCTTGAGAACTAGCTGTTAAACCTGCACAGACAGCACCCAGGTCCATTTCTTCTCAGCCAAACATTCAGCAGATGACAACTGCTTTTCGAGACAGCAGCACTTGACCGGCACAAAGGATCCACTCCCAGTTGCCTGCCACTGAAAGGAAAGAGCAAGTAGCAGGCAGAGCACACAGCTTCCCCACCCCTGCTGGGTTCCTTTCACAAAGAGAGGGGCTCAGTGTCCCAGTCCAGGCTCCACCTCAGTCCGGAACAGAAAGAGGCGGCGGGCACAGGCTGAGGAGCTCACAGAGACTGACTTGAACCTAAACACTCTCAGCACAACACGACAAATGGAAGAGAAGGTGGAGACAACCCTTAGGTAGCATTTCTAAGGATACGTGAACTGAAAAGACTCCTTCCAAGTTAAAAAAGAAAACAAATATTCTCAGGAAGAAAAAAGGGAAAGTCCCAGAAGACAAAATTAGAACTGGCCCATGAAAGCTGAGGGACAGCTGGACCGTGGTGAAGACTGGGGAGCCACCCAGGAATGGAGAATGACAGAAAATTATTTACGTTAGTAACTCTAGATATCAAGAGGAGCCAACAGAGGAAGATTCAACAGGGGAGATCCTGGTGAAATTGAACCATGTTCCTAATTTATAATCAAATATAGCATCAGGTGAAGAACTTCAAGGATATTATGTTTAACAGCAAAATACTGTCATGTGGGATCTAAATACACTCAGATAACATTTTAAAGTCTATCAAAATGAAATATTTTATAGGGATAAGATTAAACCAACTAATCAGGGCTTTCACAATTGTATGTGTGCATACATAAACAATCGTTTGCTAGGGCCGGGGATTTAACTCAGTGGTTTCATCGCCTGCTGCAGAAGCGCAAGGACCCGAGTTCAATCCCTGGTACCAAAAAAAACCACAAAACAATTGTTTGCTTATGCGAATACACATATATCAGAGTTGACATCTATTTGCATAGAAAAAAGAAATAGCTGGTTTCAACTGGGCTGAATAGTCCCAGAAAAATAATTTAGTAAATTCATTCTAAAAGAAACTAGGGCTAGCTGGCCATGCTGGTGCACACCTGTAATCCCAGCACTCTAGAGGCTGAGGCAGCAGGATCACTGTGTTTTAGAGGCCACTGTGGGCTACGTGTACTCACGCGTGGGCCAGCATGAGTACAAGGCCAGCCTGAACTGCACAGCAAGATCCTGTCTCAAAAAACCCGAGGGAACTGAAAAGACAAATGCTCAATTAGTTTTAGACCTCAATATCTTTCCCAACAAATGACAGAACTAGACCTTTCCTACAAAAAATTGGCAACACCATTAAGCAACACAATCGACATGACATTACAGAACCTCTACCTAATAATGGCAAAATACATTTTCTTTTCAAGAGCCCAAAAAACATACACCAAAATATACCACGTCATGGAGCATACAGCAAACCTCAACAAACTCAAAAGAATTGAAATTACAGTGTCTGCTCTCCGATAATACTGGAATCTAATCAGATATTGGAGCTTAGCGATAGAGGGCTTGTTGTTCAACAGGCACCACAAAACAAAACAACAAAAACACGTAATAAAAAAGGAAAATCTCAAAACACTTAAAACAACATACTGCTAAATAAACTGTGAGTCACAGAGGAAGCTTCAAGGGTAATTTTTAAAATACAATGAGCTAAATGCAAATAAAAATAGAACATGTTAAACTGTATGGAATGTAGTTTAAGGTGAGGGAAATTTATAATACTAGATGCACATACTAGAAAAGAATGTCTCAAACCAATCATGTAAATTCCTGGCTCCAGAACCTAGAAAAAGAATACAATTAATTCAAAGCCAGAAAGGAAATGATAAAAAGCAGCAAACAATACAATCGGAAAACCAGGAAAATACTGAAAATTGAATACAAAAATTGGTTCTTTGAAAAGATTTTTTTAAAATGACAAATTCCCTAGCAGGTGTGACAAAGAGAAGATACAAACTATCAACACCAGAGATCAAACAGGATACCACTACAAACCCTGCAGACATCAAGGAAAATAAGAGAATACCATAAACAACTATACCCATAGGAAATGGATAGTTTCTTGAAATCACAAAGTACCCCAGCTCACCTAATATGAAATGAATCATTTGAGTCACTCTCCAACTATTAAAGAAGTGATTGTCATTTTAAAATCCTCCCAAAATAAATCACCAGGCCCAAGTGGTTTCACTGGAGAATTCTACCAAACATTTAAACAAGACTTAATACCAATTCTACACTAGCTCTTCCAGGGACAAAAGGAGAGAGAGAACATTTCGCAATTCTTTTTATGAAGCCAAGACTATTATCCTAATACCAAAACCAAAGACCTTACAGAAAAGAGAAACTATAGACCAGCAATGGCAAACCTTTTAGAAACGAGGGCTCAAACTGCAACCCCAAACCCACTTATTTGTCGCAAAGTGCCAACACCGCAATTAAACCTGAATGCTGAGGTTTCAGTTTAGAAAAAACAACTCATACATTAACCTTTTGTCTTCAAAGAAAAACACAATATCAAGCGTGCCTTAGGTTTGCCACCACTGCTATAGACCAACTCTTATGAATATACATCCTTAACAAAATATTAGCAAATGGAAATTAACAGTGTGAGTGTTACAGTTCAGATGCTGACTGGCTCCCAAAGGCCCGCATGTTAAGGCTTGTTTCCCAGAGTGGAGCTACTGGAGCCACAGAACCTCTGGGAGGTGGGGGCCTGTGGGAGTTCCAGAGGTCACTGGGGAACGTGGGCTCCTGATTGCCCTCCACTCTCTCTCTCTCTGCTCCCTGGCTAATATCAGTGGTTTGCTCCACCACACATTCCCACTACGACATGTTACCCTCACCAAAAGCCCGAAGCCATGGGTTCAAAGATCTCAGCCTTGAACCTCCTGGAGGAGAGTAAACTCTTTCTCTTTACAACTGCCTCAGATACTGCATTACAGTAACACAAAACTAATATCAAATAAAGAAAGAAAGAAAGAAAAAAAATATAGGAAGGGCTGGGGATGTAGCTGAGTGGTACCATCCCCACCTGGCAAATGCAAGGTCCTGAGTTCAACCCTGGATACCAGAAAAAAAAAATCATAGGAGCAAAGGTTATAGCTCAGTGGTTGACCATAGACTTAGCAAGCACAAGGCCCCAGGTTTGATACCCAGGACCACACACACACACACATATGCCATATATACGAGACTGGTTCAATATTTTTAAATTAATCAGTGTAATCCATCATATTAGCAGACCAGATGAACCGCAACCTAAGTCTCATACCTTACACAAAAAATAACTAAAAGTAAAATCACATATCTAATTGTAAATATAAAACCTTAGAAAGAAGACACAGGATAAAATCTTTGAAATTTAGCACTAGAAAAAGACTTCTTAGTCTTTGATTCCAAAAACACAATACATAAAAGGAAAAGAATGATAACTGGATTTCTTCAAAATTAAAAAATTTTGTTCTGTGAAAGACCCTCCTGTCAGGTAAAAGGGCCGAAGACCAAGACCAGACCGGGTCACGACAAGCCTTTATTAGGGGAATAGATCTGCCGGGCTGTCTCTGAACAAAGGAGAGACAAAAGCAATATGGCTGGGGCAGGGAGAGTCT